GTAATGTCGCTGGTGATATGTTTATTTTTTCATGTGTATGGAAACTTCAGAGAAACCCCGACCATTCTCTCTCTTGAACTCTTTGGGCCCCACCCAACTCACATTATGTTTCTTGGTCATGACAAACATACTGTTGTTACTTCATTCTATCACAGATACCTGTTATTTAATCTCTCTCTCTACCCCAGTTGTTAGTTTAATAAATAACTAACTAAAGTAAAGGAACCTTTATTAATCAAGTATATCAATCACTCAGCAGGAAATATGACCACCTTTACTTCCCAGGATATTACCTGGTACCACTTTTAGGCTAAGTCAACCCGGGAGCAAAGGTCATACTAGACCCATCTGCCTGAGGCTCCCGTTAACCTCCATATTTGCTATGTGTCCACATGTCTGAATAATATTAGTTAGTAATGGTCAGTTAATCAACATGTGCTAAATTCACCATAGATCATCTAAGGTACACCTTACACATTGATCATATTCATCATCTTGTTGTGCTAATCTATGTCACATAGGGCTTGCAGTTCATTTTTCCATTTCATTCTATCCTGTGCAATTGTTTCAGTATCACGGAAAGAATCATCCAACACATTTGGCCTCCCTCATCAATGTTCATTTTAAGGTTTCTTTTTGGAAATTCTTGGTTCTTAAGTTCATCTTGTTCCCCACTTAATAGCATCTGTTTTCGCTTCTCCAACGAACTATGCACAATTTATTGCTGCCTTATTTGTCTTATAATTGTTGATAATGGCAGTTGTCCAGACATCTTTCTTATTTCTTCACGAATTCTGTCTATTTAATGTTCATTAGTTTCTAAGGCACCTGTTTTAGAATGCATTTAACTTTCATTCTTAGTCTTTATAATACATTATTAATGCTCAGATAATTATATGTATTCTGATTTTATGGCACAACATATCATTCTGTAGGTCTCATCTAATCTCATACTTTGTGAACCCAACATTGTTGAGGTGATGTATAGACAGCAGGAGAGTGTCCGGCTGTGTGCTTCATACTAATGAGATTCACCATCTCTTTTGATGTCTATTTCATCTATACATCATTGCTTGTTTTGGGTACACTGTTGGCAACTGAGTCAGATGGTTAATTATTTCACATTTTTCTATTGTAGTATAGCATATTTTCCTAAATTTGTTTTTCCTCGATACATTAAGTTATCATCTCATGAATCTCATCTTAGTAAAAATCTTTTTTTTCTTTCTTCTTCTTCTTCTTCTTCTTCTTCTTCTTCTTCTTCTTCTTCTTCTTCTTCTTCTTCTTCTTCTTCTTCTTCTTCTTCTTCTTCTTCTTCTTCTTCTTCTTCTTCTTTTTCTTCTTCTTCTTCTTCTTCTTCTTCTTCTTCTTCTTCTTCTTCTTCTTCTTTTTCTTCTTCTTCTTCTTCTTCTGCTTCTTCTTCTTCTTCTCTTTTCCAATTTGTTGTCCAAGGCTGGATTTTGGTACCACATAGTTAGGAAAAAAAAAATATAGTTCTTCTGAGTGATGTTTTTCTATCAGATGGATACTTCTTGTTTTTTTTTTTTTTCCTTTTCTCTGTTATGCTTTAACTCTCTTTTTCCATTAAAAATACCAGCAGTTATAATATTTTTCTCACTTTGTGGGTTCTGGGAAAAACAAGAATTGACCCACTGCCTACCCAAAAGTATGTCGTTACAGTCGACTAACTGGGAGCTTCCTTTGAAGTCAGAATGCATCTGCCTGATAGGCAAGGAACCAGCATAAAAATGGGTCAGATCTGTAAAATGGATGCACAAGCAACACTCAGGTTCTGGAGCAGGACTGTAGTCCACAAGTGGATGAACAACCAGAACTTTCCGCCAGAGTTTACAGCTGGTGAACGCAAAAGAAGAAGAAAGATAATATTTTTCTATTTTCGTCTTCTAATGATGTGATGAGAAATTAATTTCCTTCTGATCTTAGCAGCAACCTTAATTCTGCACCCTTAATTTTACTCAATTTATCAAACATATATTTGTTTCACATAAAGAAAGTTCTTTTTTCATTCGCCTAAAACGGATTATCTATATATCAAGAAAGTTGTGTTTCCTCCTCAACTTTACAGCAACATCAATCAAATAAACATCAATAAAGAAAGCTGAGTTTTCTTCTCAACTTCATAACAACATCAAACATCAGTTTTACAGCAATCAATAAAGTCATTTATCAAATATACAACTTTTTCACAACTGTCAAATACTCACATTACATCAGTATACATCTACATTCTTCTATCATTCAGAAATAAATATTTGACTACAGAAATTAAACATGTACGCTGTATGTACCGCTGACAGTCTATTAAATGGACAGTTTATCTGTCTCATGGTCAATAGTATCTGACATGTCAAGTCAAGTGAAGTGCAGAATTCACAGCAAGTGCAGTCATGCAAGGTTTATATAATATCATGCATTTAGTGTTGTGATTTCACGGTTTAAAACAATGTGAGATATAAAATCATAATCTTTGGCTACACAATGTGTGCTTGAATATGTCTAAATGTATGTATTACTAGGTCCCAATAAAGATATGAAAGAATAGTAACACTAACCACCGCATGTCATAGAAGGCTACTAAGAGGGGCTGGTGCTAGGCTGACTGTGTTATCCCATAACAAGTTGTAGCTGAAAAATATAACCATTCTGGAACATGGTTTTTAGAGCTTTGTGCTTCCCATGCGCATTCCAGGGTCATATTGTGGGGAAAACAAGAACAGACCCACTGCCTACCCAAAAGTATGTCTTAAGAGTCCACTAAATGGGAGCTTCCTTCAAAGTCAGATTGCATCTGCCTAAGAGGCAAAGAAATAGCAGTCTGCATACAAATAAGTCAGATCTGTAAAACGGATGTACATGCAACACTCAGGTTCTGGAACACGACTGCAGTCAAGATGTAGATGAATGACAAGAACTTTCCGCCAGAGTTTACAGCTGGTGAACGCGAAGAAGAAGAAGAAGAAGAAGAAGAAGAAGAAGCAGAGCTATTTGTGAGTTGATTATAAAATAAAAAGGACCGATTTCATTGCAATGGACTTGAGCCCATAAGTGAGTCTCTCTCTTCAAAGAGCAGTGTCCACTCACTGATATTGTTGCAAAAAAAGGATGACACTCCACAGCTCCAGCAATGACCCACAGGGATCTCCACAACACCTGCACTTGCAAACCAAAAGACGCAGAGTCCAAATCCAAAGCCACAGTCTTCAGAGCATGAGTTGATTAAATTAACAACTCAAGATAACAGTGATCTAGTAAGCTGATATCATTGGTATTACACCAAAGGGCTAAATCTTTGTTTTGAGATAAAGTCAATGGCAAATGAAACTTGTGTAGCTGAATCTTCTTTCATTCGTTCAAGTGATGCAATTGTGCTGTGCCTGTTTACAGCAAAGCTGCCGACATTTGTGCTTTTGGCTGACACATTCGACTTGAGCATTCGTTTGGGTTAACTTCCTGGACAGTTTCATGGAACACAAAGTAGCCTTATTTGTGTGGTGTTCTCTGTGACAGGTTGGTCCTCAAGGGAAGGCAGGGGCAGATCATGGGCATTCTTCACCATTAAAGGAGGCTTCTATAAGTGTACAGCCGACACATGATGGTGATGATGTGGTTCTGGGCTCATCCAAGGAATAGTCATGTCCTGCATGTTGAGCCTCCCACTTCAGAGATGTAGCTGATTAAAAAGTAATCCTTCTTTTTGACCTATATGGAATAGCAATTCACATGTGTCCTTTCTGGCAAATTGTAAAGTAAAAATAACAGCCTTGAAGATGCATCTGGGTGTAATCTCAAAAACGTCACTTGCGTGATTTTGGCCTAGTGCCAACAATATAACCATTGGTTTGTGAACGGTTGTATCCCCAGCACATTGTCCTGGAGTAATGAGATGAGTTAATCAGTTCTTTTTCTCATGCACTCTCCTTTCTAGATAGTTCTGGACAATTCTTAAAACTGTTTAAGGCTAGGTCTTAGTTGTCAGGATAATATAACCCTACCACTGGGGGACGTGAAGTAATCACAATGAATAGTTGTTTTCTTCATGTGCTTTATTTTTCAGATAGTTACGAGACATTTTTGAAAACTGTTTGAAACCAGGTCACATAAAAGTTGAGAAAATAGAGCTCTACTGCTAGGATTTGAACCTGGACCACTTATACAGTTTGGCTAGCAGTACACTCTAAATGGGAGTCACAGTGGTGTCGAGGCTAGACACTCGCCTGTGGATCAGAAATTTCTGAGTTCAAATCAAAACATAGCTAGATTGCTTAAAAGAAAATGACCTAGGCTCCCAGGCTGACCAAGCCTTAAATGGTGACCTGGTATAGTCCTAAGAAGTAAAGGCAGCTGGTGTGATGTTGACCATGCACACCCACTGAGTGCCAGTTGGTCTATAAAATATATGTCTAGCACTATATGCCCAATACACCGAAAAGGGTCCTGTACTTATATTTCAAATGAAAATCCAGACCATGCAGTTACTGCAAAGAAGAAACATGTTTGTTATAATGAAAGTGTGGTTTAAGGATGAATTATTTATACAATGTTGTGAAGCATAATACACCTTACAATAGTTTACAAGAATGAATGTACATATAAACAAGAGAAAGAAATCTGAACTGTCAACTGTGTAGTTATGAGTAAAGTCCATGGTGTGTAGACAAGATGCCATGACTTGTTTGGGGGAGAGGGTCAAATCATAATCTACCCACAAAATAACACCAGGTATCTGAGCTTCATGTGACCAAAAAACCCATGAAAAACAAGGGGATATGGACATGAGCTCATGCAGTTGGTCTTATTTGGGGTCAGTCATCAATGAGGCTTTTAGGCAGATGCGTGAGAATTGCCTTAGTCTCAAGAGATAAACTTAATGATGCAGCACTTTCAGTACCATATTTATGGTGCTATCATTTGAGAGCTTGGCATGGCTTGATCACTACCCCAAAAGAGTCATGACAGAAGTGCTGGAGCAGCAACTGCTGCTACGCTGTGGGGGTATCCGTAGCTGAAGATGCCACAAGTGAGGGCTCAGAGTCTTGTACTAAGGTTGCTGGATTTGAGATGAGAGGACTCGATGACTTCGGGGATGATGATAGTGGAGAGGATGTCAAGGAGGGTGCTGCTGAAGTGACCGCGGCTACAGTTTCTTTTGTGGAAAGGCTTGGAACAACAGATGGTGCAGGAGATATACAAGTAACTGATGCAGAGTCTGCCACAGAAGTGCCTTTACTTAGAGCCAATGATGTGTCTTTGCCTCCTGATAATGATGATGTTACAGCAACAGATGCTGAAGATGATGCTGCAGCTGCTGCTGCTGCTAGTGCTGCCCTCCTCATTTCCCTGGCCTCAGCAACAGAAGTGATGTGAGCTTTGCCACAAACGTGGTGATGGTTTTCCCAGTCTTTGTGCTGACAGAAGGACCCGCAGTAGCGAGCTACGTTACAGCCGCTGCAAGTCTCACTGGCTTTTCGTCCACAGTTCCAGCAACTCTGGAAAAGAGTAATTAAACCATTTCTTTATTATTCTGACAGTGTTAGCTCTGCACTGTAACCACCTGAACAAACCATGAATTATCTGGGTTCCTTAAAATTATAAAACGAACAGACAACTAGAAAATCAGACTGAGACTTTGGAAATATATTCAGAAGAATATGCTACATTTCACAGAAACAAAGATAATCCAGAGTTTCTAAAGAAATATATACAGAAGAATAGGCTACATTTCACAGAAACAAAGATAATCCAGAGTTTCTAAAGAAATATATACAGAAGAATAACATTTCACAGAAACAAAGATAATCCAGAGTTTCTAAAGAAATATATACAGAAGAATAGGCTACATTTCACAGAAACAAAGATAATCCATTTCTAAAGAAATATACAGAAGAATAGGCTAGAAATCCAGAGTTTCTAAAGAAATATATACAGAAGAATAGGCTACATTTCACAGAAACAAAGATAATCCAGAGTTTCTAAAGAAATATATACAGAAGAATAGGCTACATTTCACAGAAACAAAGATAATCCAGAGTTTCTAAAGAAATATATACAGAAGAATAGGCTACATTTCACAGAAACAAAGATAATCCAGAGTTTCTAAAGAAATATATACAGAGGCTGTGAATAAAAAGGCAGTTACTAAAAGAAATAAAAAACAGAAATAAAAATATAAATTGAAATATTTTAGCCACATTAAAAGACAGAACATACTTTTAAATTCCATACTGGAGAGGAAAGTCAAGGGCATAAGAGCAAATGGCAGATAATGATACAAGTGGAAGCACAGCATCAAGAGATGAGCGAACAGCAGTCTAAGAGTGCATAACCAAGACAAGAGACAGAGCATACTGGAGATCCACTGCACCAACTTTCAGTGACACATAAAAGATTTACTGATTAAACTATTTACTTTATTAATAACTTTTGCTCTATTCAGTTGTAACATTAAACTGTTAACTCCTTTGCACATAGCCGTATTAGTTTAACCTCTTCATACTTTATTGCGCTGAAAATATTGACTCAGATATGTGACCACCAGAGTTAACTGCCCAGATACATGAAGGAATTAATATAACTGAACTCAGGATTTATCTACATTAACCGATACTTATTTTTCAACCACTGGAAAGATATACAGAAAGAAATGGAGAAAGTCAAAATAGAAAATTGTTAATCTTTCGAATCCCATACACATGTTTTTTTAACCTATTACACCTGAAGTACAACCTGTAAATTTGTCAAAATAAATGCTGGATCTAACAAAGTTGAGATAGTAAAAGTAAATAAATTAAAGCTCTGGGACTGAGCCAGTTTCAGAAACATAGGCATGATATATATATATATATATATATATATATAGGGAGATTGATCAAACATGCTGCATGGCAAGTAAATATAGTAATATATTTAAAATAATTTAAAATCCATAAACATTTTCTTCTGTGTTCACCTTTAAAAGAAAGGTCGCTGGTTAAATTGTAAATTTACAGCTAGGCTGTGATATCTGCACTTTTTGGCGCAACACACCTGATTTCATTTCAGTAAACCTGCAAACAGTCACCTTCTATAACATGCCTGTTAGGGAGACTGTTGGTCTATCGCCCCCTTCCCCCAATAGGGCTTCTATACATGGTTGAGCATGCTTGGTCTCCTTATAATATGTTGGTTGGGGCTGTTCACATGTTTTCAAAGCCTAATGATGCTAAATCACTCACCTCAGCTGATTCCTCCTGCAAACTCAAAGAACGCAGAAGATCAGCATGTGCTTGTTTCCTAGCCTCTGTAATGGCTCTCTCCATCTTCATACGTTCAGCAGCAATCAAATCTGCAGCTTTCTGATCCGCAGCTGACATTGCTTTCTGCAGCTCCAGCATTGCTTGTCTCTTCACATCATTAACTGCTTCCTCTGCAAGAAACATGTAAGTCAAAACTATACTTCATGCACAACCATAGTATGTGTAATTGGTTCATGAGGCTGACATAAAGACTAGTCTTACACAAAGTGCGGCTCTGTGACTTAGAGTGTGGCCTCAAAGTTTACCAGGGTTCCGACTCCTGTGGTGGGTAGTTTAGAAAAAGTCCATTCTCATGGCTTTTCAGACTGTGTTAACAGAACTGCACCATGAAAGAGATTGAGGCCTCCATAAACAATAATCCTAAAGTTAGCGATGGATATAAAGCAACCAACCTATATTGTGAAGATGGCACACACTCTATTATCTTACAGAAGACAAAAACAATATTCAAACACCACTTCCCTATTTTGTTAAAGCTTCTTCTTCTTCTTCTTCTTCTTCTTCAGCATTCCGAGCCCTTGAGGTTCATTGCTACAGATATCACCAGCCTCCATTCATCTCTCTGGTTAACCTTCTCTTTCTAGTTGGTAACACCAAGTGTTTGCAGATCTGTCTGGATATTATCTCTCTATTGTCTTCCTGGTCTGCCTCATGGTCTATGACCATTCATCTCCCTCATATAATTCATATGTCTCTTAGTTTAAGTCCTAGTCGAGGTTTCAACATCACCACAATCAGGTTTCCCCATACTTGCTCTGCTACTGTGCCAGTGCAAATCAAATGAAATGTCCCTCACTGTCTCATTTGAAACATTGGTGAACAAACGATTAGTCCTGCAACAATCCATAAATATGTGCACAAAGTAAATGCAAATTTCAGTTGCCAGAGAGGTGCCAACACCACAGTCCCCACCAGAATATATGCCTCTAAACTTGAGTAAAACCATGGCCTAATTAGCAAGGCACTATGTTGAAGTTGGAGGCAAACAGTTAGGAGGGGGACTAGAGCAATCATGTTGTCAAGCACATGCATGGATAGCGACATATGAATACAGGAGGCAGGCGCAGTTAAAACTGGTGACCCAAATACACGCAGTGTTATGGAATGATAGCGATGAATCAATAAGCAAGAACAGAGTGAAGCAATAAATGAAATGCAATCGCCAGAGACCTTAAAACAAATACGTATTGGGTGATTCATGCCATGACCATGTGACCTCTGTCACTGAGCCTATGGACAAACTTTTAAGTCAACTTGGCTTTAAATAAAGCCATTGGATTTCCAAGGAAACCCATCTAAAAGCTATATTTAGTTAATATATCAACATCCTGGCCTCCTCCATCTACACAGGTGCACATGGAAAACAAAAAACCAACAGCATTTAACTATGCTTTTCAAGAACAAGTCATTGCATAAACGGTGGTAATTCGGCCCTTGTGGGGCTGTGTAACATCTAGAAGTGGCTAGATTTAGGATTCTCAGGGCAACAGTTTTAATGAATTAAATGTATCTGCCAAAGAACTTGCTGCATGATGATTATTGGTACAAACCTGCTCTTCTTCGCACTTCACTCATTCTGTCCTCTGTCTGCCTGATAGTATAAGCCATCACGTCCCCGGTACGTTTCTTAACATCAGCGTCGATGCCGTCAGCTTGTCTGCGAGCCCACAGGGACAGCTCTTCCCGATCTCTGAGGCTTCTCTCTTGTAGTACAGACATAGCTCGCTTGGTTTTATCCACCATCCCAATTATGCAGTTTAGCATCTAGAAAGGATATCAGCAACAGGAGTAACATTCTAGCTATAAAGTACGTAGACACTCGACTATACAATACACAGACATAATTACTATACATCATTCAGACAGTCGCAGTTAACAGATATCTTGACTATACAGAACACAGACAACTGACTATACAGAAAATAGACATCTTGGCTATACAGTTCATAAGACATCTTGACTATACAGTACATAGACATCTTGACTATACAGTACATAGACATCTTGACTATACAGTACATAGACATCTTGACTATACAGTACATTGACATCTTGACTATACAGTGCACAGGCATACTGCTTATACAGTACTTAGATGGCTTTGGGGAAGGGGAGATATAAAATGTGCTGACATAAGTACCATTTATCAGGAAAGATTATCAAAAAAGTAAACTACGAATACATGGTTCCTGTACTAAAATGATAAAGATAATTATATAACAGAAAACAAGAGTGACGTTTTGGTCCTGACTCTGTTGTTAAATAAAACAACTGTCAAGAGCTTCGCCACAATGAAAGTATATCTCCAACACTCTCTACACCCCCCCCCCCCCCCCCTCCCTCTTTCCTTTTCAGGTCTACACTAGACTGCTGCTTGTCTGTCTCATGATCCCAACCGCACATATTGCTTGTTCTCCTGTCTTTTTTTTACAAGAGTGTTCTTTTGTTATAAGAGTGTTGAGTTCTAAATGGCAGAAATATTCAACTTGTTTTCTTTCTCTAAATTTACATTACTAACATTTAAACTGTGACATTATATTGCCAGTTAAGTTAAACTGCCAAATTTTTTTATTCTAAAGATTTTTCTTGAAATTTTGTTTGTTTCACTCACTCATCTAATTACTGTGAGCTAGAACAAACTTACTGTTTCCACATGTCGCCAGTCATCATCCAGTCTGTCCAGATGGTCAAAAGGTTCTGGTGTTCTAAAATCTGCAATTGAAACATAAAATTAAAAACAATTTCAAAGAAGGAAAAAAAAAAAAAGAACTTAAGGTATAAGAACAACTTGATATGTTCACTGGATAGAAATTATTAGGCTTGGATGCATCCACCCGTACTGGCCTAGAGGTGACTACATAACTGTTTTGGGACGCCCCAATATAACTGGGCTATGTGGCTGTATGACAAACAAATTTTTTTTTTTTTTTGGGGGGGGGGGGGGGGGGGGGGGGGTTTATACCTGTTTGATTCTCTTCCTTGAGATATTAGTTCTATAGACTATACTCCTAGAGGATAATAGTTTTTTTTTTTTAAGTGTGAAAGGGTAAAGGTAATAGAATTGATTTCAATGCACCGGTTTCATCCCATATGGCTCAGTCAGTCTCCACAGAACAGCTAGCTACCTGCCAAGAGCGTCGCACAAAGCACATCCTCCGTAGCTTTGGCAATAAAGTTTGGATGAAACAATTTTTAAGCATTACCTGAAACTTTATTTTCTTTAAACCCTTGACTAATTCACCATGAAGGATGATGATGATGTTTAAACAAGTCACAACGACAATTATTCAACACACACAAATCTCCCTGTAAGTATACTCACTGTAGTTTGAGAAATGTCTCTCTCTGTCTCTTTCCCTGTCCGCTCGATCACGCTCCGTCTGCTCCCTCTCAAGCCGTTCTCGCTCTCTCATCTCTCGAGATTTGCTGATGTCCTCAAGCCTGATGGGTCCCCCAGCGGAAAGGTTAAATGTTGACCCCGGGCTAACTCGACTACTGGACACAGGACTGATGGGATGGTTGCCATGGTGACGTTTTGCAGGATGGGGAGCCTCAATGTGAAGATCCAGCCCATTTTCCTTTGGTCTGCTGCAAAAATTAGTGCTTGATTTATAGTCATGCAAAAATTATTGGTTATATTACAAAACAATGTTTTCCGTAATGAATTTAAATATTGCGGACACACACAATACATTGCACAATTTATTGCCAGGCATATTTCACTGTATCTCGTCAGGTGCGTTACTAAAGAGTTCCATCAACATAAAATAAAGCACAAAATTTAATAAATCCAACAGTGCAGTTTCAAAACTATTTTAAAAAATATTTAAAAAAAAATATTTATCCACCTATATATCCTTTCCAGACCATTACATAAAATTATGACAATGACTACTGTGACTACAGGAACGCCATATTGAATCTTGGATGGCAAACCAACAGGGCAAACCCTATATACCCTGTTCAGCTTTCAAAAGCGTGATAATTAAGGCACTTGTAATGGTTACATCAAAAACCACTTAGTGTACCTTGCAGTCCTGAGTGGGTAAAGATAATAACTTTAACAGAACAGTTTGGTAAATATTCTGTGAGTTCCACATAGCTACATTAGAGCCAGACTTATATTAACTTCTTCAAATAATAATAGTAATAATAATAATACAAATCCTACCATGCACAGTGCATTGGAAACATCCTAGTTTTAAAAAAAATTATTCCGGACAACACCAGGAATATTATAGATTCCTAACTGACGACAAACAGTACCCTCAATTAGGTCACTACTAAGCAATTTTTAATTTAAAGGATTACTTCCCCTGTATTAATGTTTTGAAACTTGAGCCGAGGGGGGGTCGTATCATATTAGAAGTTGTTGAGATTTCAATATATACCTGTGTGAACATATGATAAGTCACAAGACACAGTTCAACCACAAGTAAAGTATAGCTGATATATATGTACATAAAAATATTCATTTTTTTAACAATATCTTCCTCATTATTAGAATTCTTCCAGCTTGTACTCTTAGTATATTTTTCTTAGTCCACAATAAATATCATATCTAAAATTAGAATTAATTAGTTACGTAAGACAAATCTTTAACATTTTTTTAAGTACATAATGAGTTTATTGTTTCTTATGATAAAGATCAAAAGGCAAACAGAAGCACCAACTAGCAAATTGAAAATCTAAACAGTTTCTGTGAGCTCAGTGTACTAAAGTCATTAAGATGCTAAGTAAAAGAAAAAAATTAGACTGAAAAAATGTACAAAGGGTTTGAATTTAGAAGAATGTAATATGAAACAGACCTCTGTTCCAATTTAATTTTACTCTTTTAACTCTTTCCACCCCCAAACATTGCACAATGTGTTGCTGACTATTTTCCACATGTCTCAAACTAGCACATGAAGTGTCTTTTTTGTATTTAGGTTTTGGTCAGTGTATACTAAACAAATCTGGCAACCACAGGGGTATCATAAATTCATGTTTCTTCCCACTACATAGCAAATTGGTATAATTTTGTGTGTGGCAGCATTTAATGTGGGAGGGGGAAAATATGATTTCTCAACAAAATATTATAGGGTTGAAGAAAAGTGAAAGTAAATTTTGATTATTCCTTCTTGTGAAAAAAAAAAACTGTTGGAAAAGATAACACAATATGACCCTACCTGTCTGGTGAGCGCCTTTTTCTACTCTCACTGATCACAGACAAAACAGATTCTTGAGTTTCCAGGGGAGAGTGTGTGGGGTCGAACACAATGTGCTCATTCTGTGTGAGAAACTGTTGTGGGGACTGTTTGGCCATGCGAGCACAATGGAGCAGCTCCCGCTGCAACAGTGGCAGATTGGCCTGAAAATAACATGATAATATCTTATCATTTATTCTTTGCTAAAACTTATATAATCTAAAAATCATGATCATTATGTTGCATGCCAACTCATTTACAAATTTTCTCACTTTCTTAAAAGACTGATGCCTTTGTTTTCCCAAAAAAACCATTTCCGTTCCAATTAAATGTTTCTCAGTTTGTCTAGTGCTGTCCATGGTTTTCATCAGTACAACAGTAAAGATTTTATATATCACGTTAATACTATTTTTAAGGCTGCAATTGACAGGTTTTAAACTTAAGTTAAATGGCCAAATAACTTCACTAGTTGTTTTCTAATGAAATCTAGCACTGCTTCTACCCTCTCTTTCTTTCTTTATGTCTTTTTGTCTTTTTGTCTTTCTTTCTTTTCTTTTCTTTCTTTCTTTCTTTCTTTCTTTCTTTCTTTCTTTCTTTCTTTCTTTCTTTCTTTCTTTCTTTCTTTCTTTCTTTCTTTCTTTCTTTCTTTCTTTCTTTCTTTCTTTCTTTCTTTCTTTCTTTCTTTCTTTCTTTCTTTCTTTCTTTCTTTCTTTCTTTCTTTCTTTCTTTCTTTCTTTCTTTCTTTCTTTCTTTCTTTCTTTCTCATGAAGAAAATTTAAAAATATAAAAGTAGGTAGGCTGATAATTTAATAATATAAAACTAGTAGGTAGGCTCCTTCTCTCTATCTCTCTCTTTCTGTGTGTGTGTGTGTGTGTTTTTAAATAGGTGAATATAAACTATTACTTTTTTGATGACATGATTGTAGAATGTTGGCCTCTGCCTCAACAGTTTATCCTCCTAAACTGTAAATCAATGATTTTTGCAATCAATTTTCCGTGCCTTTGTCTCAGTTAGAACATCATCCTCAAGAAAATTGCAGGGACTGTTCTCTCTTCATTACTTCAATGGTTATTAAATGAAAGTCTTACCTTGAGAAATGGAATGACAAATGGCCTCAGAGGGAAGTTGGTTGCCTCTTGTAGCTTGGAGTGGAACTCTTCAATTGACAGGTGAGAATTCTGTGAAGTTAATTCAGATTTAAATAATATGAGCAGGCAATTAATTATAAACATAGCTTACAAAAATCTCCTGCAGGAAAAAAGACTACCAAACAAAACACAACATTTAATTATCTTAACAGCATATTTTTATTTTTAAAGTTTTGACACATACATCTACAATTTATAACTTTCACAAAAGCAGATACAGCTGGAAATGTTTGGCTTTTTATAGTTATGTGACATCAGCACTTGCTTATTAAAAAAAAACTGTATGTGAATACATTGGCTGTATCTTTCTATCACAGGAGTGTCAGCCAGAAAGTTATGCTGACGTCAGATAGAAAATGCTTTGATGCCTGATAGAAATATACCACCCTACTGTCAGACACAAAGATACACGAATGTCAGAAAGATAGGCATAACAATGTCAGACAGAAAGCTACACCAATGTCAAGTAAAAAGATATACCGATGCCTGATAGAAAAATTTTCCAATGTAAGATACAAAGATACCCCATTGTCAGACAGAAAGATACCTCAATGTGAGTTAGAAAGATTTCCAGTGTGGGTTCGGAGGTCCCAGTGTGGGTTCGGAGGTCCCCAGTGTGGGTTCGGAGGTCCCAGTGTGGGTTCGGAGGTCCCAGTGTGGGTTCGGAGGTCCCAGTGTGGGTTCGGAGGCCCCAGTGTGGGTTCGGAGGTCCCAGTGTGGGTTCGGAGGCCCCAGTGTGGGTTCGGAGGCCCCATTGTGGAAAAAAACAAGAATATACCGGGGCCGTCGATACCCACAAATAAACCCACTGCTTCCCAAACAAGCATGTCGTAAGAGTTGAAACTGGGCTTCCTTCGAAGTCGGAGTGCATCTGCCCTTTGGGGCAAGGAACCAACAGTCTTCATACAAACAGGTCAGATCAGAAAAATAGATGTGTACGCAACACTCAGGTTCCGAAACAAGTAAAAAGTCCAGGGATGGATGAACAACCAGAACTTTCCTCAGGATTTTACAGCCGGTGAACGTGAAGAAGAAGAAGATAGAAGTATACCCTAATGTCAGGCAGAAAGATATTCTTTTTGCAGGCAGAAAGATAAACCAAAGTCAAAGAAAGATACGTCGATGTCAGACAGACAGATACCCTGAGTTGCTTTAATGTTGAAAGAAAAAGAAAAATCATAAACCAGCTCAAATGAGCTGTGTCAATGTTTCTCTTCGAAAACTTTTGGCGAGCGTTTTCAATGTTTGCAGCTTGCATACTGGAGCTGACCTAAGAAAATTACCGAATTATCTCGCTACCAAAAATCTTAATGTCGAGTGCTGGTACACAAGCGCGTCTTATATTAGGCACTACCGAACACTCATCTTTCACAAAGCAATTGTATTCCATCTTCATCTACAAAGTATTTTTGGTTAGTTGCCTAGTTGGGTATCCTTTACAGAACGTTGCAGAACCATCCCCAGTATTTTTTGGTTGTTGTGGTTTTTCTAGGCAAAGTTTACGTTCAGTAGTTGTTTTCTGTAGGGTCAGCTCTTGCTGCCACGGTCGAAATAAATGCAAGACAAATTGCCTGCAACTGTGATTGAACTTCGGCACCCCGGCATTACGAAGCGCGTTCACAACGCCTAAGCCACAGACGCTGACCGAATGACTGCCATTTACACAGCATATAATATTCATAATAAGATAGATAATCAGACAGGCAGACAGTGGAAAAATACTTACCACAAGGCCCAGTACTAATGTCCTGACACGCTCTCCGATGTCTGGGGATATGTCTGATCCAAACTGTTGTAGAGTTGTCAGGAAGCGCTTCAGCTTGCCCAGCTGCCGGGCGCCGCAAGCCGGGGGAAGTTGCTGGCCTGCCGAAGTGCTCAGGAGAGAGCCCATAGTCGGCGGCGATGGTGTACGCCCGTTCAAAGTGCTGTGAGGAGAATGACTGCCATTGACCCCTGTGAAGTAGGGAATTGGTCAGTTTACTGGCTAGGCATTTTATGGAGTATTTTCTTGCATAAGTATACAATCAAGCGACTGTGAAAATGGTGTCCAAAGTTCTCAGTTTCAGAGGGCATGACAGTGGCAGTAATGCAGTGTCTAGACCAATATCTCTCAACCTTCCTAGTGCCGCGACCCCTTTAATACAGTTCTTTATGTTGTGGCGACCCCTAAACATACACTTCTTTCCGTCGCTACTTCATAACTTCAATGTATGTGTTTCGCGATGGATTTGGCAACCCCTGTGAAAGGGTCGTTCGACCCACCCCCCCCCCCCCAAAAAAAAAGGCCACCACCCACAGGTTGGGAACCGCTGGTATAGACGAATACCTTATGTCTAGAGTGACCATAACATCTTGGGACACATTTTTTCCAGCTGAAACCCGGATATCCCAAGCAAGTCAGTTTACCCCCCCCCCCCCCCCCCCCCCACCCCCCTTTCCCTTCCAAATCAACTCCACCCGCCCCATTTTTTATATTTCTGCTACCTTACCCCTTTCAGGTCATTGGGATGATTAATTACTCGCTCAACAATAGTATTAAAACCTTAATCATTTTCGCGCCAAGAAATAAACGGGAAAAAAATGATCTTTAAATGCACTTAAAAAAACATGCTACAGCGAAAAATTTGCATCAGTGCATTTCGGGCATTAAAATTATCTAAGGCGTTAAAAGTATATTAGGCGTTACAAGTATTTAAGGCGTTAAACGTAAAGTATCTAAGGCGTTAAAAGAATCTAAGGCGTTAAAAGTATCCAAGGCTTTAACATTTTCTAAGGCGTTAAAAGTATCTAAGGTGTTAAAAGTATCCAAAAATATGAAATCCAATAAGGTCTACAGATTTAACTGTACTTTCTGTTCTCGAGCTAATTCTCAGACTTGTATATGTACAGCTGACGGCTGGTTTCTACAACTTGGCGGCTCGGCCGGGACACACCTAAAAGAAACGGGACATATGGTCCCGTTAGTGACGGCCGAAGATCTTGGGTTCGAATCTGCAATCGAGGAAGATTATTTCAATATTTGATATTCATTCCCTAGTTGATCTAGCCCAGTAGCTCTCAACCTTCATAATGCTGCGACCCTTACAGTTCCCTCATGTTGTGGCGACCCCAAACAATTATTTTCCTTTATAACTTTAATGAATATGTGTTTTCCGATGGTCTTAGGCAACCCATGTCAAAGGGTTGTTCAAGCTAAAACAAAAAGAGGGGGGGGGGAGGGGGTGAGGTAGCAACCGGCAGATTTAGAATCGCTGATCTAGCCGAACATGGGTACCAGGTAATGCTATGAGAAGCAAAAACGGTCAGACTGGCATTGACAGCAGCCCTCACACACTGTGTAAGGTTAAGAAAAAAAAGTAAAGGACCCTTGTCCACGCCTTTCATGCGTATTTCGTATATAGGACCAGACCTATATTTTACAGACTGAACGGTACTTGGTGGGTCATGTGGTCAGCATCACGCTGGTCGCCTTTACTTCCCCGGACTGTACCTTTTTAAAAAGTTACCTTAGCTCCCAGGTCGACCCAACCTTAAACAGGCATCAGGTAAACTCATGGGTAGTAAAGGCGGTCGGCATGATGTTGATATCGCCTGTCTAATGCCGACTGGGTTGTAAAATAGTGATCTAGCATTATATGCACAATACGCGTGGAAAAGAGCCCTTTTAAATGTGAAATTATACTCAAAATGTAATACCCAAATAACCAATGTTTTGTAGAACTCATCTACATGGATTAATGAACGGCAAGAAAAGAATGAGAAACTGATGGCCATTACATGGGGCGATCGTTTCATGGGCGCGATCATTACATGGAGCGATCATTACATGGGGCGATCATTACATGGGGCGATCATTACATGGAGCGATCATTACATGGGGCGATCATTACATGGGGCGATCATTACATGGAGCGATTGTTTCATGAGCGCGATCATTACATGTAGCGATCATTACATGGGGCGATCATTACATGGAGCGATCATTACATGGGGCGATCATTACATGGGGCGATCATTACATGGAGCGATCATTACATGGAGCGATCATTACATGGAGCGATCAATACATGGAGCGATCATTACATGGGGCGATCATTACATGGGGCGATCATTACATGGGCCGATCATTACATGCGGCGATGATTACATGAGGCGATCATTTCTTGGCGAAATCATTACATGGAGCGATCATTACATGGAAAGATCATTACATGGAGCGATTTTACATGGAGCAATCATTACATGGGGCGATCACTGCATGAAACTATCATAACATGGGGAGATCATTACATGGAGCCATATTACACAGGGTGATCATTAGGTGGGGCGATCATTACATGGGGATCATATATATATATATATATATATATATATATATATATATATATATATATATATATATATATATATATATATATATATAGTGTGTGTGTGTGTGTCTGTGTGCAAGATATTAAAGCAAAGGAAGACTAATTATCATATTTAAAATGCAGATATAAAAGCAAAGAAAGAAAGAAAGATCAATTATTATTTTCACCGACCAACAGGAACATACAAACACACATACAAACAAGTGAGTGTGTGTGTGTTTGTGTGTGTGTAAAACCATTTGACAGTATTATAGAGGCGGGTGTCTCAGAACGAAAGATAAAAAGCACAGAAAGAAAGAAAGAAAGAAAGAAAGAAAGAAAGAAAGAAAGAAAGAAAGAAAGAAAGAAAGAAAGAAAGAAAGAAAGAAAAACAAAGTCTAAAATTCCGCTGACCGGCAGTAATTAACATTAAAAACACACATTTCCAAAAGAAAAAGAAAAAAAAAAAAAAGCAAAGCAGAAGAAAAACCCTACCTGAAATACTGCTATTGGCCGACAGTGGTCGAGATGTTGGGGTCATTGCCGTCATGCAAGTGGTTTTGGGCGAGAGTGTAGAATGCGAGGTCAGTTTGATGTCCGGGCTATCAGGCATGGCGCACTCGCGGAAATCTGAAAATAGCCAATCAGCCCGGTTGGTCAGTCACAGTGTATAGTTGATTTTTTTAGTTAGTTAGTATGTAAGTGAGTTCGTTGTTTAATTAGTAGCTAGCTAGTTACCTCATTAATTAATTAGTTGATTTTTAATAAAATTAATTAAATAAAATAAACTAACTAGATAACTACTAAAAACGAAGTTATTAATTAATAACCGACCTAGTTAGCTAATCATTTAGTAGTTTGCGGGTTTATAAGGTTAATTATTTAGCAGATTAGCATCAGTTAACTAGTCAGTTAATTAGTTAGTAAGTTTGAAGTTTGAACAACGAATCAACATCATGGCACACGAGTAGTAACCCATAAGTGCTCCGTTCTTCTTCTAACTCAAATCTGAGTCAGAAGAAGCTCAGTACAGTGCTCGTGCTCTGTAGCACCGGCAAGGATCCTGAAATACTTTGGGTGATTTTTAACTCAACATTTTGCCCGGGCAGGGCCATTAAGCTACTCTTTTCGATTTCCAACTGCCAAGGGATTTTTTTACGTGCGCAACAATGTACACGGGCGTCCGATCTCACTACCCAGAGACCAGGGCAATTAACTAGAAGTCCAAGTCCACGTGAAAAAAAATCCCAGCTCTTACCGGCGATTCAACCCGGAACCTCTAGCACTCGAGGCGGATACCATGCCTCGAGATCAGACAGTAAGTGTATTCAGCTTTTTAATTAGGTAGTTGTTTGGCTTATTCGTTAGTTTGCGGTTAGCTATTTATTTATTTATTTATTTATGTATTTTTTTAATTTATTTACTGTAATCAGTCATTTGGCAAGTTTATTCGGCTTTTCAATAAGGTAACTCTTTAGTAGTCAATTAGTTAGTTAGCAGTTAGCTAGAAAGCTAGCTATATATTTTAGGTAATTAGCAAGTTAGTCAGTTAGTTTAGTCTACAGAGCATCTACACCTCACTGATCATCGAACAATTCCATCTATAAGTGATCTGACAACTTTGTCAAATATTCCTCAGCGTGTTGTTCATATATAAATATAAGACGTGTTCATCTAAAACTCGTTCGTGCATCAATGCACTTTATTGCGAGCGCTGAACATGATCGTAGTATAGGCATGCGATAATTACTGACCAATACATAAAGGAGCACGTGCTTATCATCCCATGACATATTGGTTCTGTTTCTGGCCGTTGAGAAAATGGCCGGGTTGATTCATTTTGTGAGGCAAGGCCTGGTTTGATCACATAAAATAACATACAGGCACGCCGCTAGGTTGTGCCTTGGCTTGATGGCATCACTGACTATAGATATTCACTTAAAAAAACAGAGGGGGAACACTTGAGACCATTAAATATTATACATTAATCAAGTAACAGACAATGTTTTGATCGGCACTCATAGAAATAAGTAGAAAGATAGAAGAACACACTAGACGACATAACAATTGAAAGCTATAGTTACCGTGCCGGGAATCGAACCTAACACCTCCAGACGGCGTGTGCGCCTTGCTATGGAAACAAGTGTACTAATAACATGGTCATGGGGGTGCCTAGTTAAGGTGACAGGTTCAATTCCCGGCATGGTAAATAAAGATTTTGATTTTTATGTTGTCTATTGTGTTCTTCAATCGTTCAACTTCTTTCTGAAAATAAACAGAGGGGGAACCTGTGCCTAGTTGACCATGTTCTTAGTGCACTTGTATTCATGGCGAGGCGCAGACGCCGTCTGGAGGTAACAGGTTTAATTCCCGGCACGGTAGCTATCGCTTTCGATTTTTATGTTGTCTAGTGTGTTCTTCTATCTATCTACTTCTTTCTATGAGTGCCGATCAATACACTTTCTGTTACTTGATTAATTACTTCTTTCTGTGAATGCCGATCAATAAATTGACTGACTTTAGATAGAAACATGGGAGCGTGAGTAAAATTCACGGCAAATAATTGTAAACAAATTAATGTTATAGATCATAAGGAATCTAACCAACATGTTTTAAAACTTTTCGGTGTAGGAAATACGGAGATATGGCCCTGCAAATTGGCACTTTATAGTGCCGAGCATTTACTCTAACATAGTGAGCTGTGATTGCACTCCACAATAGCCTTCATCAAAAAAAGGATCCAAGGAGACGGAGGAAAAGAAACAAGAAAAAGAGGAAACATGTGGAATTGTTACTTGTGTGATGTTGATGATGTTATGTGAGGTTGTCAACTGATGTGGTTGATTATTCTATTTACAAAAGTCAGACAATCAATAAAATAAGTAAGAAAGTTTATTGAGTCATTAAGCAGCGAACTTCCTATATGAGTAACCAACCCTCGATTTGTAAACGCCTTTGCGTCCTAAAAATTGCCCTGCTAGTCAGTTTAAACACGATCAACCATGCAGCATGGACAATTTAAAAGGAAAAATTAATCCTCGCATCGGAGAGGAATCGATCGCCCGAATACAGTGTCAGCAAGCAGCCTGTCTAGCCACTGTGGCACCACGGCTCGTGAAGGTTCATCTTGATAATGAATAAATCAGGGTCGTTTCTAATGCTTTATTGTAACAGCACATTGATTAACTTGGGCATCTTAAACATTTCTGTTCATGTAGGCACTGTATCGATTTAGCAGCTGTATATGTCACCAAGATTTTCCACACACACACACACAAAACAGTTTGTTGCATATGCTCTTCAGGAAAGTCGGGGGGTTGAAATGTTTCAATAAATAAATAAATCTGCTGTTTGTGGTTTTACCAGGTAATTTCCCGTGCAAAGTTTGCCATTGCTTTCTGAACAGAAAAACTGTCACAATCAACGAAAAGCGGCCCCTTGCCAAATCGACTTCGAACACTAGAAAAAAAAAAAAACTCTGCCGCTTAACAAGCGTGTCGTAAAAAGCGTTTCCTCCGAGGTCGGAATGCATCTGCCTCAGAGGCAAGACAATCTGCATATGAATAAGCCAGAACTGTAAAACAGATGTGCGCACAAAACTCAAGTTCTGGAACCAGATAAAGTCCAGAAGTAAAGGAACAGCCAGAGCTTTCCACTAGAGTTTACAGCAGTAAAGGAACAGCCAGAGCTTTCCACTAGAGTTTACAGCAGTAAAGGAACAGCCAGAGCTTTCCACTAGAGTTTATAGCAGTAAAGGAACAGCCAGAGCTTTCCACTAGAGTTTACAGCAGTAAAGGAACAGCCAGAGCTTTCCACTAGAGTTTACAGCAGTAAAGGAACAGCCAGAGCTTTCCACTAGAGTTTATAGCAGTAAAGGAACAGCCAGAGCTTTCCACTAGAGTTTATAGCAGTAAAGGAACAGCCAGAGCTTTCCACTAGAGTTTACAGCAGTAAAGGAACAGCCAGAGCTTTCCACTAGAGTTTACAGCTGGTGAATGCGAAGGAGAAGAAGATTAAATATATTCAGCAATGATGCATAGATCTAAATTATGGACAGTAAACCAGCAAGTGAAGAGTTAGACTTAATTGGGGGCAACTGGACCACCGGCGTGATGCTGACCATATCACCCAAAAAGTACCGACTGATCTATAAGATATAGGCCTGGCCTGGTGTACCCAATATGCCTAAAGGCGTGGAAAAAGGTTCCTTTACATTTTCGCTTTTCACATAAGGACCGGCTAAATGCCATGCGGCGGGAAAGAAAAATCATAAAGGTTGAGTTGAGTCAAGAAATGACATCTCAGCACTCGGGATTTTCCCATGCATGCTCTGTCCTAATCTTTTCAGCAGCCAGCGCAGAAGATGGTACCGGTCACAATCTGGTTTAATATCCGTCTTGCCTTTCCTCTGAGCGCAGTAAGCCGGCCAGACCCTCTGGTTACACCCAGGTGCCTCATTCTCTCCAGGCCATATTAATATTCTTTCTCTACTGCTTCCACTGCTTGTTCCCAAAGGGCCTTGACCACATCTGCCTTGTCATGTATTAATTCACCACACAGTGCTGCAGATCCAGCCAATCTGTCTGCCTGTTCATTACCCACCATGTCATAAAGGAAGAACAGATATTAACAGAGAGCTGAAGAAAGTAAACAAGTAAACGACCCTCTTCCGTGACGTCAGGCCTATGGGCTGGACTTATATTTTATAAAACCAATCGGCTCTTTGACGGCCGATGTAGGAAATACAAACTGACAGAATTAAATGAAACGCTGATTTCCTGTAAGAAGACTTGTAGAGGTTTTTTCCAAATCCATATCTAAGGGGAGTTTTTGCCCATTATAAAACTGATCGTGGCTCTCAACTCTTTCTGCACTAAGCACCTCGTCATGAGTTTGTTGGACTTGCCTGGCATGATAAGCTTGTCTGGGTGTAGCTTTAACCCATTCTATCCCCACCTGTTTATTTAGTTCTTACTGTCCATAGTGTGTGTGCGTTAAAAAAACCACATTATATATGTAATCACGTATTACTTTTTTAAGCAACTGTTGCTAAGGAAAAGAGATGTAAGAAGAACCTAGCTGGGACGGGAAGAGTTCAGAGCTAACAGCAGGTAGCAGGTAATGGCTTGGGAGAGAAGGAGGCCGCGATTGTATTGACCACATCATTCGTCGAGTGCCTTTTGGCTAAAAACAATTATTCGTCTTACACAATGCCTGTTGCGCTAAAGGTGGGTAAAGGATCCTTTTTTTTGTGTGGGAGCGCGCGTAGTGTGTGTGTGTGTGTGTGTGTGTGTGTGTGTGTGCGTGCGTGTAAGGCAGTCATTTTTTTTTTAATATCCAGAAACCATGAGTTGTTAACCCTATGGCTTGGTACTATGGATATCGCAACCTCTCGGCCTTGATTCCGTGATAAATACCGTAACTCTGGGAGAAATGTGGCTTTTCTGCCTACCCCGGGCGTGAACCACGGACCACAAGGAGTTCGTCGCGAAGTCAGGTTTAGCCAACTACGCTATCTAGCCATAGTAGATACTGCCGTTAATGTTACATCTTCAGATCACAGTGTGGGTTCCGGGGTCCCATTGTCGGAGACAGAAAAAAAAAAGACCCACTGCCACCACCCCCCCCCCCCCTTTACCCCACAAGCAGTGTTCACTAATTAGAGGTGTGTCCTTCGAAGTCGGATTGCACCTGCCTGTTACGCAACAGTCTGCATATTTTTAAAAAAAATTCCCCGTGTGGGTGCCGCGACCCTAGGGGGGAAAAAACAGGAATAGACACCCACTGCCTTCCCTCAAGCATCTCGTAAGAGTCGACTAATTTGGTTGCTTCCTTCGAAGTCGGAGTGCATCTGACTGAGAGGCAAGGAGCCAGCAATCTGCATACATGTTTGGTCAGATATGTAAAACGGATGTGCAGGCAACACTCAGGTTCTGGAACAAGACTAATGTCCAGAGATGGAGGGCAACTAAAAGTTTCCGACAGAGTTTACAGCCAGTGAGCGCGAAGAAGAAAAGAAAATACAATTTTAATTTGTAAAACGGATGTGCACAGAAAACTCAAATTCTGGAACGAGACTAAAGTCCAGGTGGATGAAAAACCAGAACTTTTAGCCTGAATTCATGCTAAGCAGAAGAAGAAGAGTACCCTCACATATTGTAGGTCAAGACATCTACAGTGCCGTGATCAGTTGTACCTTCCTCAACGTCCTTCCTACCCACACAGTTCCGGGGGGGGGGGGGGGGGTTAAAGACAGACTGAAGACAGTGGAGCAAGAGGTAGAGATCAGTACAAGTGGGAGGATAAAATAAAGAGATAAACTAGCTGAGATCTGTCAAGGTGTACAACCAGCTTCAGAGATACAAAGTGGATATATATGACAGTGTGTGTTTGTGTGTGCGCGCGCGCGTGTGCGTGCATGCGTGTCATATAAAAGTATATTACAACGTCATGTTCCACATTTATGTATCTGATTATTCTATTAACGCTGAAAAGGTGAAGTAATTTCAAATGATGCATTAATATAATTTAATGTAAATATTATTATATAATACAATTTATTAACGATGCCTAACATACAACTAATAATAAACGTATGTTTCAAATTATGTAAAGAGTAACAATACATTAATGTTATTTCAAATCAAAGTATGTTTCATTTCAAATTTTACATGAACTAAACAAAAGACATCTTTAAATTATAAGATTTGAAAATCAGATTACGTGTTTTCAATTGTAACGTTTTTGAAATTCTAATACATGCCAGTTGAAAGTCGGGGGCAACTCAAGACATGGAACGAAAGTTAAATGCATGTGAAGAGAAATGTCTGAGAAAATGTATTAATTTTAAATGGTTTGAATTCAAGAAAGGAGGAGAAATCAGAAACATTAGTACAGTGGCATATTAAACAATTATATGGCAAAAATTATACCGCCGACTTTAGGTTACCAGTGGCATACTTGGACACTGGGGGGAAAGGGGGGGGGGGGGGGGGGCACGAAAAAAAAAAAAAAAACCCACCTGTGATATTAGATGTTTGAGAATGGCTGTGAAAAAACCCAGAAGAGATCGAGTAAGAAACGACATGATCACAAGAACTGTTGGAACAACTCATCGTCAAATTTATTGACAAACAAAGAATGAAATGGTTTGGCCTTTTAATGGTAATGAAACCAACCGTGACAGTAGCAAGAGAGTACAACCTGAAAATTGAAACACCAAGAGATAGCGAAAATATTGCTTAGAATGGAAGTTTCCTTTTTCTTTGTTCACTGGCTGTAAGCTAGAGTGGAAAGTCCTGAGTGTTTGTCCATTTGGACTTTGTGCCAGAGGCCTGAGTTTTGCGTGTACATCCCTTTTACTGGCGTATTTGTGTGCAGTTGGTTGTTCTTTCCCGCTCGTGCAAATGCACTCCGGCATCGAAGGATGCACCAATTAGTCGAATATTACGACATGCTTGTTGGGGAGACAGTGGGCCTATTTTTGTTCTCCCCACAATGGGGCCCTGGAACCTACACGGAGAAGGATAGAAGTGAATGACTACCAGTCATACCACCATCGAATGATGTATAAAAGACAGAACAAGATGAT